AATAAGAAGTGTAGTATACTTCATTTTCTTTGCACACTGCAAGATATTACAAAGGCGAATAATGGTATCTTCAGCGGACTTCCGAGGAGTAAATCCGAACTGAGAATCATTATAAAAGCATTTCTGTCTCATATACCATTTATTCGGTTAATGAAGAGAGTTTCAAGACATTTTCCCAAAGTAGGCAAAAGACTAATGCATCTAATATTATCAAGATAAGGGGTTCTTGTATCTAAAGTTTTAGGAATTAAAACAACCCGAGCCCTCTTCCTGCTGGAAAAGCTGCTAATTGTAAACAAAGGTTGAAACGTCTGTGTAGAAATGTGCTATCCACCGCATGAAAGTGCTGTACAATTTCATTAGAAAGAGAGTCAAGCCCAGGTGATTTGTTCTTCTTGAGATTTTTAATAACACTCTTAACTTCTGAAGTAGAGAACGGACAGTCCATAAATAAATATGAAAAAAATCTTACAATTCGCTGAATGGCAATGCATGGTTTTGAATCTTTTAATAAAAAATTCATTAAATTCACATAAATACGAAATAAAGGAAACGCATAGTAAATAAAATAAGAAAATGCGTAAAACGTAACATTATTGGGCATTACCTGATATGTTTTATAAATTTAATAATATATACACAGCGTGTCAACATCTATAATTATGTGAAATAAATAAAAAAGAAATTCGAAATTGAAAATTCCAACTTTGATATGCACTTGTTCAGGTGAATTACTATGTGTCTTTAAAATTAAGCTGTTCTCGGTGCCGCCATTTTTCCTCAATGTACAGAACGTACATACTTCCATATATACATACACACATACGTACATATCGGTAGCTTCGAAACTGCGAAATTACAAAAAATGACTACCTTGAAATGTTGTACATACTGAAAACGTTTTTTCTTCTTTCTTGCATTGTCATTCATCCTTTACAATGATCTCCTTTGTAAATGTTTTACGACTGCAGTTTTTGTTGCACGCGTATCGTTCCAACGCAATTTATTGTATTTTTTCCTTCTCAATACGCTGATCAATTTGTCCGAGTAAAATGTGATCACTGGACTATTTCGAATATTTTTTTACTGTAATAATAACCGTGAGAGTAGCTGTATTGCTTTAACTCAACACAACCTCAAGGGCATACTTTCAAATAACAATATCTGAAATTTCATTTCGATTGTTTGAACGAATATGCAGCTAGGGGGTTCATATTACCCGAGAAGGTTTTCTATGACCACTCTATATTATTCAAAGACATAAAGACAAATTTGATTAATTTTTATTCGTATTTGTCAAAAGATAAATCCGCTCAGTTAGGAAATTTTGCACTCAGAATAATCGCTTTGTATGTGATGCATTTGTATGGAAACAACTTTTTTCACAACTGAAAATTAATAAGAAAACAACCCGATTAATTAATGAGCATCTACAGCTCGTGATTCCTCTCCACAGATGCAAACTTTATCACTTTCTAAGAGAAGCGGACTCGTATTCACGTTACAATCAAACCCAGGTCGGACTATCAGTGTTCAGCGACTTTACCGGTCGGCTCCTGGCGAGCCCTCGGAATATGCAAATAAAATACAAGAAACGTTTAGTGTTAAATACACTAAGCACTAAATATCAATTAATTTCTAAAGCAGGTTCTTCAAGTAATTCCTCAGAATTAATTCAACATATTCTGATTGAAAGGTAATCATAACTTTATGAGAAATTTACTTTATAGTTAAACGATTCAGTGTATTTCAATATAATTTTATTTGAAATACTTTATATACATTTTCTATTTTTCTACCTAGTTCACTTCATAACGTAAATGTACGATGCATTATGAAGTGCACTGAAATGGAACTTTCATGTTAATTCTTTTTCTTTAAAGTTACACTTAAATATGGTGTATTGGTGTATTTAATTATGACAAAGCACACTAGAGCTATCTGCCTAAAGGGAGAGATGCCTTCGTGGAGGACTTTCTAAGGGAAACTGGCTCGTATACACGTTACATGGAAAAAACCACGAAAACACCCATGCAGCCAGCCCATTCGCGGGATTCGAGCCTTGGAACGAACTACCAGTGTTCAGCGACTTTACGCTCGGCCGCTGGTGGGCCACTTAAATATGTTTTCACCGTCAATGTCCAAATGAAGATGAACTGTTACGAACAATCAGTGACAAAATTTTCATCTCCATAACTAAGGAAACGTGCTATCGGTTCGTCGCGTCGGTGGTATAACGGTTAGCGCAGTTGCCTACACAGGAGTTGACGTGGGTTCGACTCCAGGCCGACACAGCCGTCTTTTTCATTGTTTGGTTTTTGAAGAAATTTGTTAAGTTATATCAGTGAAAAACATCGCATCTTAACTTGAAGGTTTAGTAAATGATTTCGATGCTTCAGCCATACATGACTTGAGATTTATAATACTGAAAGTAAAAATACAAGTCCATAAATCAATTATCTGTATTGACGGATAGTTGGGAATGTGAATGAAATGGTTAAATTGTTTGTCTTTACTTCATGCAAAAAATGCTACATAAATACCCTGAATTCAGCATTTTGGATCAAAGTTGTAAAGTTTTTATTAATCCAATATTTAATCAATATAATTTATTCACACGATAGTTAATGAATATAATTTATTAACGTTTAAAGTTTTTTTTAATAATGTTAAACTTTTATCTCTTCTTTTCCTCGTTTCATTCACACGCTCCTGAAATACGTCAATGTCTGATTGAAATAAAATTAGAAGATTGAAGTTAATGTTTCATCTTTTGTTTGCACGTGTCGCATAAACGTCAGTTGTTGCTATAATCATAATAACTATTCTCTTTTTTTATCTTCAACTGAGAAGCAAAATGTGCATAAAACTTCTTGGTGTTGTTGCAAGTAGCCAGAATCTCCAGAAACAACAAAAAAATTTAACTTTTGGCTCAGTTTATCAACAGATTCCATTCTTTTAAGTGCACGTGACAGTGAGTGCGCAGAAATGTGAAGATGTGCTTTTGTGATGTGATCATAGCATAAAGTACATTTAAATTCATTTGGCCTTCCTCTGAACATTTTCTAATAATGTTTAGCTTTAAACCTAGATTTTAGTATTAAAGAACTGACTGGAATTTCAAAATAATTAATTTATAATGCTACATTTTAAAACGAGACCTTAAAAATTAACAGTATGGAATCCTTAGGTTTATTTCGGAGTAGAAAACACGAAAATCAACGAAGCCTTCGCCTGGATTCGAACTTTCTGATTGCCAGCCAGATGAACATCCAGTTATACCACGAAGGGACGCAGAAAGGAAGGAGGAAATTCCTTGCAACAAGAAACTGAACCCCTTTTAGGCACTAACGTTACGTATCCAGTATTATACCGTTCGCAGTTATTCTCTTAGAAATGACTAATATTTTGAAATTTTTCGCAACAATTGTCTTTTTAATGTCTCCGCTAAAGATATACAATGAGGTTTAAGATATAGGCTTCTTGGGAAGGGAGAGCTAAGAAATGGATCTATTTCATTCAATCTATTATGCGAGAAAAGGAATGATTAACGTATTCTACAAAATTACATTCTCGCCAAGGATTTTGCGATCGAATTTTTCTATATCTTAGATTCCGAATAGTAAAAATGCTCCATGTTTTAACTCGTGTTGCTATTAAATGAAGCAAAAAACTTCACCATTCTTAATTTCATAATTGCGACATTACTGAGTGAATTATTGATAGTAGATTGGGTAATAACACAAGATCAACCTGTCCATCTCTTCAGTTCATGATTTATTCAATACTTCGTTTCATTTTAGTCTTTTAAAAAAACTACTCCGGCCATTCACTTATAGTGGTTAAAGACGCTAACTGCCGTACAGTAAGGCCCGCGTTCGAATCCCGGAGAAGGCATGATTGCTTGTAAATGTATAGAGTCTGTGTGGCATAGAGACATTCAAAATATACGGCCAGCTGAAAATCCTCTCGAGTAGTTTGGTAAAGGGGAAGAGGGATGGAAGATCCTCGGATCCGTCTTCTGTGATGCAGTTGTTGAAAACTGGGGTGGAAATGAGCTAAGTCCTACTGTCGCCTAGATGATGCTCAAGGCACATGCCAACGACAGACGCAATCTTGCAAGTTTTGCCACAATAAAATTCGTGTTCTTGCTGTGATTAGATCATATAAATGAGATTAGCCATAACAGCAAAGAAACTGTAGCTGACAAACATTAGAACATTTCGATCCATTATGAGAATATAGATGTCTCATTCGATGACAAATTATGTTATGAAATATAATAATGTCAAAATGGCGTAAACAAATTTTAATTCATAAAAGCATAAATATGTCGCCAGAAATGAGTTAAATGTTCTAGAAGTGTATTTTTTATTCACTGAAAATCTTCGAATTCAGACTGGTTAGATTGTTTCTCTGTTTCGTAAGAAGACGGGATTGTCTTGTTGCCCGTTTATGTCCTATCATTATCTTAATTCTGCTTGCAATTCTGATCGGCTATGAACATCTTCGTTCATGTTCCTTATTTAATGGTTTTAATGGTATTACTAAAAAATATCGACAACTTGGAAAAATGTGGTTTTAATGCCGATAGTCTAGAAGATATTTAGTGTTAATTGCCAGCATTTGTAAATAAATGACGATGCCAGCATTTGAAAATAAATAAAGAATTCCATTTCATCCATCAGCATTAAACATTTTCTGCCATTTCAACAACAGATGCAGAAATTTAAAAAGGAATTCTACTGAATGCCTCTTTGTGTTCATTGAAACATTCATACATTTTGCTAGTTAGTAAGCTTGATTAATACGTAAACCTAATACGAATGAGGAACGAGACAGAAAGCTTTTCCCTAGTACCGCGCTATCATTGAGTCTCTTTAATGATGGAGCGGGGCAAATGGGCTAAGTTTTGATAATGGATTCTAGCACGCTTCCTGGCGTGACCGCTCTTGGAAGGATTTCCGAAAGGATAGAGACGGGTTGGCAGCTGCTGTTATCGAACGCTAAGCACGTGAAGGGATCCCGGAGCTTACTTTTGGGAGTTAAAACCTGGAAGTGAAACTCGATGTGGAATATGTTTTGTTGGTATTACACGAGGCTTAAAATTCGTGTAATACGGTGCTTGAGGAACTGACGAGAGTTTCTTTGCGTGTTGAAATTCAAAAGGAAAGATACCAGCTGAGATACTGGCACAGGTAATTTGTCATCACAGCCTGTTCAAGGTTAGGAAACTTCAGTTTTGAATATGTTAATTTATTCCATTCATCAAATGTTATTGTTACGTGCGTACGTGTTCGAAATGGATAGAATGTTCACAGAACCGATGATAACTTGACGAAATTTATTTTTCTATAAACACTTTACAGTTCTGGAACTTTCCACACAAAAGTACTCAGTGAGCTTGTAACAGCTTTAAATAATATTAAAATCTTGTAGTTTAAATAATTTAAATAGATGAACATTAAGGTATTTGTGAATGGTAATATTTAAAACCAGACTCGAGTGCCTCGTTCGACTCTCGCACGAAGAATGTAATTTATTTTTAAATGTTAGAATATGTTTTTTCTTTTTGTTTGTATGTCGCCATTTTTTTAGTGTTAAATAAAAGTTATTGCTGTGTTCCATCATTGGAGTTTACTTCCAATTGCCAAAGAAGCATCACAAGCTTATCAAGAATACTATTTTTTCTTATCTGTTTAGCAAGCATGTAGGTGTCTTAAGCAGAACAGTGAGTTTTACTTAAACTGTGTCCTACGCTACTGTAGAAGAGATGACAAAGATAAGAAGGGTTTAATTACCCTTTATTCTGCACAATTTACAAGTGCTCCCGCACTTCGGGATGCATAGACCAGCACTTGTGGTCTGAACGTAAGAAAATAAGAACTGCAAATTAACTAAATTTAAGTAAGAGCTAAACTCAAATACTTTACACAGACTAGTAACACTAAGATTGGCCTTTTAGATTTTTACGTATGTAGTACGCAGAATGCGGGAAAACTACAATACGTCTTCAATAACAACAGGACTAAATTTCTGGCTTGAAAGTCGGACAGCAATTGACTGAAGCGCGCGTGAAGTAAAGTGGCGAGAAGTCTCATTCTCTCTCTCAAAAGCCGCAACTTAAGAGTTTGCAAGCACAATTTGCATAATAAAACTAACGTGTTTATTCTGGCCGGAAGTGAAAAATAAGAGAGGACAGTAAAGTTTTAAAATAAAATAAACGTTAGTAAAACTTAAGATCCTTATAAGCTCTTCTCAGTATGACAAAGCAAAATCAGCGAACTACTAACAATGTTGAATCCAAGGGAATGCAAAGAGCATCAAATGCTTAAGCTCACTCGGCGATTTCTCAATATTCTCAATATTTAAAGCTAAACTGAAAACTTATGCTTTCTCCGGTTTCATAGGGTTTTCTCCCGTCTATCGAGAAATTTACAGTACCTTCGATTTCTCACCAAACTTGGCGACTAATTTTTGTCACCAAAACCATAGCCAGTTTGGAGCTCTTTCACCACATTGGTGAAATAGCCATTTACCTCAATGTTTAATGGACTTACCCCTTTCGTTATGTTTTTCCAACTATGTTTGGCGCTGCGAGGCCTTTCATGTTTCATTATTTAAGAGATACTGTAATTTACATATAATTTTATTAAAATATTTACATAGATACAAAATTCGTACCAGTATCAAAGATTCAAAATCACGAAAAGTAATTGGCTTCAGTTTGTTAAGCGTAAATCTTTTTAATTTTCAGCAGGGATGAAAAGATGGCAGAATATGCCAGGACCTGAACCGTCAGAGCATTCTACTTACCTAGAACAAATTTAGATTGCTAGGTTACGTTACGGATACAACAAAGCAACTATGTGCAAGCAACATGTATGTGCTTATTAATTTAGAATTGTATGCAAATTCAGGCAAAATAAGTGCTTTATTAAATTCAGTTTTTTCATTCATTTAATTGATTTATTCATTTAATTGTTTCAGAGAAGATATAGATTATAAATCTTTCACGACGTAAGTGAGAAAATTTTCTTACAAGCGTTGTTTTGTTGTTGTGTGTTGGTTCAAAATTGAAATTAGATATTACATGGAAATGAACTATAATCCTTTCATTGTAGCCAGTATGCTCCAGATCGTACTGGTGCCCTCAATTTCACAGTTTTTATCATTGCAGTTTACCTCTTTCAGAGCGGCAGACTACTCCAATACTCCTAATCGGCGTGACTCTTGGCGGCCTCTCTTAACTCTCAGTTCTTCACTGCGAGCTCTGCCGTTCACTTTCTCACTGCTTCTTCACTATCATATATGAAAAATATCTCATGACGTCATTGCTTGAGACGCAGCAATAAGTAACTGCTATAGAAAGCTTCATATTCTCAAGTTCTAACTTTTTTTCAGTCGAGTTCGTCTAAACCGAATGGAACAATTTCTCTTCGTATTATTATATCTTTGTATTTATTCGGTTGAATTTTAGACTACGTAACAGCAGTAACTTTTCTAAATCTTAAGTTATAAAAATATTTAAAATAAATAGCAGCTGTATTTCTATATGAGATCACTACGCCGAGTTTTTATAGTATATTGTTTTCGAGATATGCAGATACTCCTTGGTTTATGAACATTCCCTGCAGATCACCTCGTTTTTCGTTTTTATGATAGACCGACTTTGTTCAACATTTTTGGAGCTAATGAAAAAAAGTTCAATAAAAAGAAAAAAAAAAAAAAAAAAAAAAAGAAAATCTCGTGAAAAAACACCCAGACCACATACCTTTCTTGCGCACAGCTTCTTAAATTATACATACTTTTTTGATGCCCTTCATTTAAACTTATTTCCTCGAATTATTCAAAATTAATTAATCGATTCCTCGAGGCAAGTTTAAAATGACATCAAAAACTGCATATTTTGAGATTAAACAACCACGTCCGTTTTTGTCGTACGGGAGTTAAACTTTTTATAATTTTATTTTTACATGACGTGCATAAAACTCTTCTAAATATAAGTATAGAAACCGGGAGACCTTATTAAAAGTTAGTTTTCGTTATTTGCCCAAAATGAAGTATTTTTAAAATTTTGACATTCGCCAAGACATGAATATTTTAGCGCATTGTATATATATATAATGTAAGAAAGGCATACTAATTAAACTTAAAAGGACCTGTGAGGTCATCTTTTGCTATTTTTCTTAATTAGTATTTCATACATATCATGTTTTTACATTTTGCATCACAATTGGATCTTTACTTTGTGTTTCTACTTTTTTTGCAAAGGAACGAAGTATCACTTTAGCTCATAGGCTATAACTTGAAGAATTTGCTTTTTAATTATGCATATAAATATATTATATATATATATATATATATAATCATAAGAATGAATATATATCATGTACTTTTGGTACTGCCGATTGCAGTAAAAAGGGGAGGTGCACAACTAGATGATATTAACAATCCCATATGCAAAATTTAAACTTTCTTCGGCTAATCGTTTATGCGAATACGTACGCACGTACGCCATGAAAAAATCAATTTTAAGTCCATTTTACAATTCGCTTTGGAAAAAAGAGTCCATTATTCTGTCGTCATGCAAAAAAATAATCAAAATGGTATCGGAAGTGCTCAAAATGGATATTTCATTTGAAATATTATGCTAGAGAGTTTTCACAATTACAGTAATTCCTTTATTTTGCGCAAGGAATTAAAAATAAGCCGCCTGCGAATATATTTATTAATTGATTTTTTAAATAAATGCCTAATTAAATCATAATATACATTTTTGATAACACGTATGCGTGTAATAAATTCCTTCTTTCAATTATAAGTCATCATTACTTTTTCTTCTAAAAAATTCGCCAAAATGCCCGATGGTGTTGCGCTAATACGTAAGTACCAGATGTGTTATTCTAAGTATAGTGCTATACTTCAAAATTTACACATTAGCTTTTAACAGTAGATCAAGTAGGCACAGAATCTGTAAACGCAATGACTTGATCTATACGAAGGCCGGTAAGATATTATCAGATAACTCCCCGCTCGGGAATTTCCACACAAAGTCAGCGATATGTGGGACTGGCGGAAAAGGTAAAAAAAACTTACGAACACAATTCGGTATCACTCTGTTGCAAGTATCCTAAAAATAGGAGTTTAGCAAAATTCCTTCCTTCCTGATTACGCGCTTTTGCTAATTATAAATTTTGTCTATGCTCTGCTTATTTCGAAAGCAAAACGGTATCGATTCTAAGTTAAGTCGTTGCTATGTGTATGTTCTACGCCGTGCCAATGTTATGCTGGTGTCGACTCTGCGCAGTGCCGATCTGTACCTGTGACGATTCTATGCAGATGACAAATGTGCATCAATCCTTTTGTTTATTATTACAACAATATCATATTCGATTCAGTTGTATACCCGTATTAATTCTACGCCGCATGGACGTTTGATTCTATGAATGTAAGCACGCAGGTTGTTTCCTACTTCCGTGTATCTGTCGGCTCATATTAAGGCCATTGTCTCTGTGACTTCGTCTTTAAGTCTTCCATCCGTCTTTCCAAGTTTGAAACTGCATTACTCATGTGTTATTTTCTGTCTGTACGGAATGCTCATTGACCACATCCTATTTGTTTTAGCGTTAGTTTAGATTTTATGAATTGTTTGGCATGATCTTGTTTATTTATTTACTCTTAAGACTGCTTCTTCAGTGGTAACCGCTTCTTGAATTTGCGCCATTTTGACTTACGAAAGGTTTCATAAGAATGTTCTGTCTACTTTTATTGTTAAAATGAAATTCAAGCTATTTGAAAATTATCTTGTGAATCAGTGTGACTGTCTTACATTTCCCAAACTATAGTCTGTTACTTTAAGATAGATAGTTCAAGATCTTTTCGAACCTCCCTTATTCACGTCATGCATGATTGTTTTATCTTTCTGTGGCAACGACAATTTTTTTTTCAAGGTTTTGAATCCTGTCGATGACGATTTCTTCCAGCAGCGATGTCTTGAACCCTTGTTTGGGTGACATCAATTTTAATTAATCTTCCTTCAGTGTTTTTAATTATTTAATATGTCGTTACTTAATCTCTCACTATTTTTAATTATTTAATCTATTCTTATTTTTAATTGAGTATCTCATAATTTAATCTGCCATTATTTTAAATTGATTCTCTTATTTATAGGCAAAACCGAATGTGATTCCTCACTTTTAAAAAACAAAAATACACGCTTTTA